TATAAGAATACTTCCGCAAAAAGCAATTTTTGCTAAATTATGTACCGAAAATATCTATAAAAGTCAAACGTAATTTTTAAAATATTATTTCATTCTTTCTTTTTAATCTTCGTCATGTGAAAATCTTAGATGAAGTTTTATTAAAACAAATTTTTATTAAGTAATTTTTTCAATACTATTAAAAACTAATAATTATAATTTATTACATAATTATAAAATATATACTTAAAATATTGAGAAAAGAATAGAGAGATCAGTATTTTATTAGTAGTGTCATCTCTTTGAAAAATATTCAAACTTCTCATACATTGTCATCAATAAAAGAGTAAACTTAATAGTCTTTGATTAGTGGCGTCATCTCTCAGAAAAGCATTGAAATTTCTTGCGCATAATTACTAATAATAAACAAGTTTCAAAATTTCTTAAAGAGATGGCGTCATAAACCAAGAATGTATTTACTTCGGTATCGGTAATAGTACGATAAGTTTGAACGTTTTTCAAAGAGATGGCTCTACTAGTTAAATACTAAAAAAAAATTTAAACATTAAAAAAGTTTTAATATATGTTTTATAAATGTTTTATAAATATTTTATAAATGTTTTAATTTAATATTGTATATTATATATAATAATATTTACATAAAATTATTTTCATATTTTTCTTTAGTGATTAAGCTTTTTCAAGATAAAAAGTTCAAAACAAAATTTTAGAGAAAAATTGATATACGGATATATAATATACGTATTATATTACAATATATTTTATTTTTACCAACCAATTATTTTTACCAATATATTTAATTTTTACATATATATGTTTTACATTAAAATACTTAAATATGTATCTATATTGAATCTATTAAACTTAATTAGAAATTTCTTGATTCTTATTTCTTTTTTCTTTTTTATATATAATTTACATAATGTTCTCTCTTGTAATACTGTAATAGTATAATATTTATTAAAAAAAAAACTTCTATTTGCACACTCCTTTTAAAGCCATACCTTGGTCATTTTCGATTAAATATTAGATATTATGAACGAAAAAATTAATATTACAGGAAAACTACTGATAAGAATTTTAAAGCAATTTTTAACTTAAATTCTAGCATCTCGATTAAAATTTATCTGGATAATTGATGGCATGATTATTTTAAAAATATTGGCATAGAAACCAATGTTTTTTGCAATTAAGAAAAGGATGTTGACATAAAAGATTCATGAGGCATGGAAGGAAAAAATATATGTATCGGAGGATTCGTGTATTGGCAATCATATAGCATTCTTT